TGGGGGGGGGTGGGTTTATTTTTTGGTCAAATTAGTTTCTAAGTTAGCCTTTTGTAGGCTGTCTAAAAATTATTGCAGATAACTCGTCCCCATAAAACACTGATGATGAAAGTTACAATCTGATGACTTTCACAACAACCGATGAAAGTTCCAACCTGATGACTTTCAAGATAACATACGAGAGTTACAAATTGACGGCTCTCATATTTCAAAGAGCCAAATGCAAGGATTACAAGATGACAATCCTTGCAACATTCGAAAAAGAGATTACAATTAATGATCTCTTCGATTCAAAACGTGAGGCTACACCCCGCGTTCCGATTAAAAACGTGAGGATCACCCCCGCGTTCTACTTCCAAAACGCGAGGGTCACCTCCGCGTTCCAATTCCAAAACACGAGGGTCATTCCCGCGTTTTAAATTTCAAACGCGAGGGTCACCTTCGTGTTCCAAGCTTCAAACGCGAGGCTCACTTCCGCGTTTCAGAAGCTTAACGCGAGGCTCGCTCTGGAACACAAATCTCACGTTTGACTTGTTCAAACACGTTTTGAATGGTTCCAAAACCGTTTTACACGTAATTAGGGCATTAAACCCCCATTATGGAGCGATTTAAGGGGTCAGTTACATCCCTTTAACCCTATAAATACCTGGGTTTACAGCTGAAACAAAGGAGGGACCTTTGGAGCTAGAGTTAACTTGGTTAAAGCTTAATTTTGGAGAGAGCTCTTGGTGGAGCTTTTGGCTTGGTTCTTGAACCATTTCATATTATCATTTTTGAAATTGGTTCTTTGGCTAAAAAAAGATTCATTTCCTCTCTGAAATCAACTCTTTCTTGAGTTCAAAACTCGTTACGAGTTTAAACTTGCACTGAAAGTGCTTCTCAACTCGTTTAAAGTTCCAAAACTTGCATTGCAAGTTCTTCTAAACTCGGTTAGAATTCAAAACTTGTCTCGCAAGTTCTTCCTGACATTGAGTCAAAAGGAATAGGAAAAGTTCCACAAGGCTACGTGCTCGGATCATCAACGGGATACAAGAATCAAACTCCCATCGACACCAAGAAGGACCCAGTTTTAAATAAAGAGAAGGATCTTTGTCGATTCCCTCTCTCTTTTGTAAATCGGGGAACCGATAAGAAACATTATAATTTCTTTTTCTAAGTCAGTTAGAGAAAGGTTACTGTGAAAGATTGTATTCATTCTTTTTCTAAGTCAATTAGGGAGTTTAATACAAATTTTATTTCTCAAATTTTCTAGCATTTTTCTCGCGAACACTTTTTAATATCAACCTTTTTGGTAAACTACCAAATAAATTAGCTTGTAAGCCTTATTAGAAAGTTCGTACACCCCAACTTTTAAAAAACTAGCTAATAAGCTAATCTAAATAAACCAGGTTTGATCAAACAAATTGCTATTCTACCCCAAAAAAATTTATACACAACATTTATCATAAATGTCAAAAGGCACCACAAGCTAACATAGGTCAAAAACTTAACAAAAATAAATCCATCCAAACACCCTCATAATCTTAGCTATGAAAGCTGATGTGTAATCTTAACATTTCCAAATGCAAAACACAGGTTATTGTTAGGACAAACTCGGGCCCAATAGAGCAGGGTCCCAGCGAAAAGTAGAGTGTAAGTAATAAAATGAACACAGATATTTACGTGAAAAACTCTCTAAATGAATTTGGGATAAAAACCATAGGCAATGATAAAATAATTCACTATGAGGAAAAACTTTAGAGTTAGAATCTCTCTTTACAAGGAGAAATTCTCTCTGTTTTTCTCTCACTCTTCTATATATGGAATTGTTATTGTTTCTAGGATGGATTTTTTCTGAAGAGTTTTAGACGCATTTATAGTAGCCTGGAAATCATTATTCATAATTTTTTAATAATTTTTTCTTTAAAACGGTGCCTAACTTTCGGTGAATGATTTGTGGTGGGGCCCATGCCCTTTTTCTCCTTTAACAATTTTCGCTGACAATCTCCCGTTTGAAGATTTGATTGAATATCAATCATATATTCATACTATTCTTTTTATCTTGTCATCTTCACGTTGCTCACGTCTCCGACAGACCACAAGAGGATCAACAAAAAATAAATTTGACAGTATTGTCTGCTTTTATCAAAAAATTTGCTAGATTATCTTTGGTGTGAATTTTCTTCATATCCACTGTTCCTTCTTCCACTTTCTCACGAACGAAGTGGACTGAATTCGAATGTGCTTTGTCTTTAAATGAAAAGCTGGATTTCTTACTAAATGTAAAGTACTCTAACTGTCACAAAATAAGAAAATCTTCTTTTGTTCATGCTCGAGTTCCTCCAGCATCATCTTTAACCATATCGTCTATTTACTAGCTTGTGTAGCTGCTACATATTTTGCTTCTGTTGAAATAACCACAACTGATTGTAATTTTAAAATCCAGTTTAAAACTCCGCTAACAAGTACAAATACATAGCCTATGGTAGATTTGCTATTATCATGATCACCTATATAATCAGAATCAACATATCCATTGATAATAAAATCGGATCATCCATAACATAATACAACATTTGATGTTCCCTTAATATATCTTAGGATCTTCTTTACAGCATTCCAATGCTCTTTACCAGGATTCGTCATGTATGGACTAACCACTCTCACTGCTTGTACAATGTCTGGTCTTGTACAAATCATAGCGAACATTAAACTTACCACTGCTGATGCGTACGATACTCGAGACATCTCCATCATCTCTTCTTTACTGCTAGGACTCAGAGTGGAGGATTAACTTAAAATTAACAGAAAATGGGGTAAAAATTGACTTACAATCTTACATATTGGAACGCCGCAAGATTTTCTTTAAATAATTTTCTTAAGAAAGTCAAATCTTCTTATTAATTTTGTCTTGGTAAATTTACATCCATGGAATCTTGTTTGTAGATCCTAAATCCTTCATTTCAAATTTTCTAGCCAATTGTATCTTTAATTCTTTGATTCGATCTTTATTCGAGAATTGTCAGCCGAAATTCTTGAAGGAGAAAAAGAGCATGGGCCCCACTACAAATCATTCGTCGAAAGTTAGACATCATTTTGAAGAAAAAATTATTAAAAATTATGAATAGTGATTTCCCAACTGCTATAAATAGGTCTAAAACTCTTCAGGAAAAATCTATCTCAAAAACAATAACTCCACATATAGAAGAGTGAGAAAAATAAAAAATCTCTCCTTGTAAAGAGAGGTTGTAACTCTAAAATTTTTCCTCATAATGAATTCTTCTATCATTGACTGTGATTTTTACCCCAAATTCATTTAGAGGATTTTTCACGTAAATCTTTGTGTTCATTTTATTGCTTCTGCTCTATTTTTCGCTGGGATCCTGCTCTATTAGGCCCCGAGTTTGTACCAACAAATGATATCAAAACCTGACTTAGGGTGCGTGTATCTACGTATCGTATGCTCTATGACTACCACCAAAGATGGATCCTCCACGTCAGAAAATAAATTTAGATTATCATTTATCCCTTGAAGGCGATGAGTACTATTCATGAGTATAATATTGTTCATAAATACGAAAAGAAGAACGAAACTTAGCTCCAGTGGGAGTCATACCCATGATAGATCAAAATTAAGTAAGAAAAATATCAAATGCTACAACTGTGACAAAAAGGGACACGTAAAATCGGAGTGTTGACACAATAAAAAGAATGGTGATAAAAAATAATTAGAGCCATCAACATCTCAAGGATGCATTGTCAACACATCAGACGATGGTAAAATTTTATATAGTGGAGCAACTGCTATGGATAAAGGCAGAAAGATATTTGATGATGTCTGACTTCTAGATTCAGCAACGTCCTGACACATGACCTCCCGAAAAGAATGGTTTACATGAACTTATCTTAGGAGGATCTGTATTCATGGGCAATGATCATGCCTCAGAGATTCTATTGGCACTATCAAAATAAAAATATTTGATGGTACAATACGCACAATTCAAGATGTGCAACATGTGAAAGGTTTGAAGAAGAATCTATTGTCTTTAGGATAATTAGATGAGCTAGGGTGCAAAACCCATATAGAAAATAGGATCATAAAAATTGTTAGAATGACGCTTATTGTGATAAAAGGAGAAAAGATAGTTGTAAATCTATACATGCTCAAGGAAAAAACACTACATGAAGCTGATTCATGTGTGGCATCAACTAATCATGGAGAAAAACAAACCATGATGTTGTATCACAAATTAGACCACATGTCAGAACGAGGCTTGAAAATTCTCTCCGATCAGAAGCTGCTTTCTGGACTTAATTCGGTAGCTCTTCCATTCTGCAAGCATTATGTTACAAGTAAACAGCATTGGTTGAAGTTCAACACATCGAGTTTTAAAAGGAATGCTATTTTGGAACTGGTTCATTCTGATATATGACAAATACCGGTTACATCCATAAAAGGAGCAAAATATTTTGTGTCATTTATTGATGATTACTCCAAGAGATGTTAGGTGTATCCTATTAAGAAGAAGGCGGATGTGTTCTCAATTTTTAAGGCCTACAAAGCGCGAGTCATCTTGAATCAGAAAAGAAGATCAAGTGCTTAAGGTCAAATAATGGAGGAGAATACACAGACGGTGAATTTTTTACATTCTACAAGCAAGGAGGCATCAAAAGAAAATTCAATACTGCATATACTCCTCAACGAAATAGAGTCCGGAGCAGATGAACAGAACTCTGTTAGAAAGAACAAGAACAATGTCTGTAACTACATATCTGGATAAAGTCTTTTGGACAGAAGTAGTAAAAATCGTCTGTTATGTGGTGAATCGATCTTCATCAACCGCAATACAGTTAAAGCCGCCGATGAAGATGTAGACCGGCAAACTAGTTGATTAATCCAACCTTCACATATTTGAAAGTCCAGTGTACGTAATGTACAATACCCAAGAAATTATAAAACTAAATTCAATAGAAAATGCATATTCTTAGGGTATGCTAACGGAATAAAGGGGTATTATTTGTGGGATCCCACTACTCGCAAGGTTATCATCAGTAGAGATGTGATCTTTGTAGATAACCAACTACAAAGTGAAGAAAAAAAGCAGTTCAAGAAAGGACTCAGAGAATGTAGTTGTTCAGGTAGAAAATGATTCAAATTGTTCTGAAGCAATACCAGAGCATGATGTACAAGAACCAATCGAGTCCGAGGCTCCAGAAATTTGAAGGTCAACTCGTGAGAGAAGATCTCTGACTTTGTAGGAGTATAACCACCAACTTGACACTCAGAGTATATTATGGAGAGGAATGTTGCATACTGTCTTTTAACAGAGGATGGAGAGCTATCAACTTTTCATGAAGCTATAAACAGCACAGATGCATCTTTGTGGATGACAGCAATGCAGGAAGAAATTGAAGCTCTCCATAAGAATAAGACTTGGGTACTTGTGTCACTACCACAAGGAAGGAAGGCTATCGAACATAAATGGGTCTACAAGATTAAGCGAAATGGAGATGATCAAGCGGAGCGATATCGTACTAGATTGGTAATAAAAGGATATATACTCAAAAAGAAGGTAGTGACTTTAATGAAATATTTTCTCCTATAGTTCGACTTACAAAAATCCGAATAGTCATGGCTATGAGCGCTATATTTGACTTACATCTAGAGTAGCTAGATGTGAAAACAACATTTCTTCATGAAGATATTGAAAAAGAAATTTATATACTCCAACCAGAAGGCTTCGAAGGAAAAGGAAAAAAGAACTTAGTTTGCAGATTGAACAAACCTCTATACGGTCTAAAACAGACGTTGATGTGTTGGTACAAGAGATTTGATTCATTCATAGCCTTAGATACAACAGACTTAATTCAGACCATTGTGCATATTTCAAGAGGTTTAGTGAAAATAACTTTGTTATCTTATTGTTGAATGTTGACGATAGTTATTGTATGAACTAGACAGCTTCGTCAGGATAGGCCTCAACCAGCTCCAACAAATTGTTCTTCATCCAGTGTGTGTGGGCTAGGCTGAAAGCAAATTTATAACCATTGGCTTGAAACTTTGAAAGCTTACATGGAAAGCTATATAAATGGTAGATATGTACATTGTGCTATACTTCTATGCAATAATCCATTAATCCAATATTTCAGTAAAGCTAAAGCGTTCAAAGTATAGGGCCAACCCTTGTACAGGTCTGTTAGCCCTTTCCATGGTTATAAGCCAAACTGCCCAAGAAACTTGTCCTATCAGCTCAAATCAGAAACATAACCTCCCAACACAAAGTATCTGCCTCTGTCTATGGGCTTATACAGCAGGTTACACTTATAAACCATGCACATTTTGCCATCACACTAGTTGTCATAATTGCTTGTTTTTTTTAACACAAAACGCTCAATGAAGATGTGTACAACTCCTTTGCTAGCAACACAACACCTATCAATTTATATTTGTACCTAAGAACATGCATAATGACGCTAATGTAAAATCTGGAGCATTCTACTAGTGCTAAGAGCGAAGAGCGAAGAGCAATAAAATCAACACCAGTTTTCCACCACCGGAAAGTAACAAAATAAAAAGGTATTAGAAATAAAACCTTGATGCCTGATGTCAAAACCAAACTCTGTTACAAAATGGACTGCAAAACATTCCATAGGCTCAAATATTTAATTGTTAAGATCAGAGTAATTACCAAAAGTAAGGGGCGTAAAAATCTCTAAATCATACCTAAGCTACGTGTATATGACCTTCCCCTGTCTACAAACTAAAGCCCAAGGTGCCATATTTTAGGATGTTTATTGCATCACTCTGTGAGTCCCCTCAATTCGCAAAATATTATACAGCAAATTCTCCTTACTATCAACTTCTGACAATGCAATCAACGAAGCAGACGCCAGTATTGCACTTAACCCAATAAATGAGAAGGTGCATGACCCTAATTTCTCTAAAAATATCTTTTCACAATCAAATAACTACGGAGAATTTTTACAAATTAAAACATATTGAAGAACCTATAATCCCCAAAAAAATTTGCTCATCACACTTTCTTACCAAAAATGATAAAGAAAATTCAGAATTTGTAACCGAAACACCCTCTCCCAAGATTAAAAAAAAAAGCCTCAACTCTTGCAAGATTAGCTAATTCAAGTAAAAGTTGGTCCAATTTCTTAAAGTACTCATTCAACCCTGATTACGTTAAGTATTTCGTCGTAATCCATACCCTAATTGCTAAAAAAAGGCATAAAACCTTTCTAATTTCTTTCACACCAACAAAACACAGAAATATAATATAAAAAGATAGATAGGGAAAATGAACAAAAAATTGTACTAAAAATAGAAATTCAAACTTAGTCCCCAAGGAAATGAAATAATCCAACAAAAACTTCTTACCGATTTCTCGTCCAAGTCTCCCCAAATTATATCCAAATCCTCCTTTTCCCTTTTCTCTACAAAAAAAAAAGAAAAAAAAAAAAGCTTTCCTTCCCCTCTTCTCTCCAGAAAAACGCTCTCTTTTCTTCTTATCACTCTCTCCCTCTCTCGGTAAAAAAACTCGGAAGTGTGCAATCTCTCTCTTGGCCTTTTATGAGCACGCGAGGGGAGCTCGTACGCGTGACGGCGTCAATTAACGTCGAGCCCACGAGTCAGCCCGCCCGCGTCTTTGACTCCCCTTCAAATAACGGCCCCGTAACGTGCCTCACCGCTGACGCCTTCTGGCGCTCACGCGCCTCGTGCGCGCAAGCTAGCCTCGCCTTACGCGTGTCTGCTAACCTGAGCCCGCACGTGACATGCCTCCCGTGCAGACGGCACGCGTGACCCTTGGTAGACGGCGGTTTGACACATAGGATAAGGACGCAAGCTACGTGGACAGATTGTTTTCCGTTCGATTCTAATCTAATGGTGGCATATGTTTAGATCCTTTGACGCCATTTGGCCCGTACGATCGAGGTGAGTGATGACTTGGACGAGGGCGCTTGTGGGGCCCCATGTTGGAGGTAGAGCCATTGGAACTAGGAAGCTGCGGGGGCATCTAGAAGCACACGCCAGTATTTATTAATTAATTATTTTCAGAACAGAAAAGAGAAATGAGTTTCTCGTCCTTTTTTTTGGCAAAGTATATGGTACATCAAGTAAGATCTGACCTCTCAAACTTCATGCTTCATGAGGTGTAATGAAATGTATAATAATAAAGAAACTGGGATTTTAATAAGTTTCTCGTCGAAGCGGTTGAATATTTTTAAAATTATTATGAATTTTGGATAATAATAAAGAAACTGGGATTTTAATAAGTTTCTCGTCGAAGCAGTTGAATATTTTTAAAATTATTATGAATTTTGGATAATAATAAAGAAACTGGGATTTTAATAAGTTTCTCGTCGAAGCGGTTGAATATTTTTAAAATTATTATGAATTTTGGATTATTATAGAAAAACTGTCCACAATTTATAGCATTATCCAATAAATCATCTCCATTTTTTAATTTTGAGGTTTCATTCATGTAAGTTTCTTTTTTGTCATATCAGTTAGGTGTAATGGTTTATTACAACCACTAATCTCGATTTTTATCATCACCTAATTCACTTAAGTTTCTTAAGATCTAAACTTTATATTATTGACGAACAAATTTTTATAAGCGAAGTGTTTCATCTTTAAATTCTCACAACAAAAAAGAAAAAGAAAAAAACCAAATAACAAGACAAATTTTCTTACATTTTACTACTTTAAGATCCCCATAAATTGACTCATTCGTTGACTCCTGTTTAATAGAGGATTGCCACATTTGTTGATGTTAGGAAATTAAATGTAAAATCACAATGTTCAGAAGGTGAATTATATTTAAATGACTAAGATGTTGGTCAATTGAATTTGAATCCCACATCTACACCGAAAATGTATCAAAAAATGTCATTTCCAGTGGACGGTGGTGGGACGAATTATAAGCATCTATTGACCTAAAAATAAGAATAAAATATTATAAAACTATACTATATGAGATGGAAATGTAGTCAATACATTTTATAATCAGCTTCATTATACCGTATACAAAAACTATTTCAACTAATTGCTTAATTTTTACCACACTCGGTACATTTTATCATCTACTAGGGGTGCAAGTTTTGTTAAAAATATGATAGGAATATAAGAATATTGCAGATTTAGAGAAATTTGCAATGCAATTTTAATAATTGATAGGAGTGCGAGTGCCCATAACACCACATGTAGATCCGGCCTTAGTTGATATTTAGGTGTGTACGATGTATGGAGACCCTGCATGTATAAAGGATTACACGGTGAATTCAGGTGAATGTAAATTTTAGCACATATTAAACATCTCAAATGAAAAAAGTTCTCGTTTAATAGTCGACCTGATTACTTTAATGACCATCGAGTTATCTCAAACTTTATCAACTGAATACTGCAATAGGATTACGTAGATGCATCCAATCTTATAAGCTTCCTGTTTAGTTTAATACTCTCACAACAAGCCCACCAGCAGTTTAAAAAATAATTATGATTAAGAAAGTTTCGAAGTCTTCAAATGCACTAAACTCAAAATTAATAGCCTCATTAGAGACAATTTCTTCCCTTTTGTGTTTATGAACTCGCATGTATATGTGATCTTGTTGAAAACGTCTTTAAAAAACTTGCGATTAACCGGTCATTTTTCAAGTTTTCTACCATTAGTGATCTAGCTTTTGTCAGCACCACTATGAAAAGATGTAAGATGACGATTGACGATGAGAAGATACTACTACAAAACGAGAGCCAAGTCATGTTTGATCATATCCCATAGAAAATCGAATCCTCTCAATTTTATATATATTTCACAACGTTTAGATTCATTTCTAGATTATCATATCATATCATATACTCCCTTTAAAAGTAGGAGTTTGAGAAAAACTTTTAGTAGACAAAAATACTCTTAAAATTCAAATACCAATCCATTAAGTAAGAGGAATTTGATAAATTAATGAATTCTTATTGGATATACATAGTATGAAGATAAGAATATAGTCTAAATTGAAATGTAAACCTGAATGAAATTATTAAATGTCAAATTTACAAATGTATACAAGATGAATGGCTTATATGCAAAAACCAAGCAAATTAGTCAGACAAATAATGTCTGCCTCAGAGGTCGAACACCAAAACTACGCAGACCTACAAATGTACATAATGTGGACCGGTTATTTGCAAAATCCACCAAACAAATTAAAGAGACAAAATCATTCTGAAAATTATAAAAAAGGAAAATTAAAACAAGCGGCTACGATATGAGGGCACAACGTGACATTTCTCACCAACTAAAATTCAAGTAATTCACAATACTGCAAAAATAGTTTTAAAGTTTAATTATATTATTATTATTTAAATAGAACTCAATTTATAATTGTTATCCTCTCACATGCAACATCACATACCAATGTTTATAAGCCAATAAACTACAATAATTTCCGTAGCACTTTCATCTCCTTCTACATGTATATGTGTAGGGTGAAAATTTGATTCTTCCGAAGAAAGGAGTTTCGTTTGTATTTATAAGAAAGCTTATTATTACAAATAACAAATCAATGTTTACAACAGAAGCATGAGGGAGCCCTCTTGTTTTGCCGGAGGTGTGGAAGACTTTTAGATGGCTACACTAGGACGCTAGTCGTCGATGCTCGGGTCGCAGTCATAGCTTACCCTTGGCCGTTTGAAATGAGCGTTGCCTGAGAGCTAGGTTCGCGTAGAAGCTCGCGGGCTAATAGAGTTCGGGTTCTGCTTAGTTTCGTTCGGCGATCGCCGAGCTCGGAACTAGGCAGCCCGGTGCTGATAATGCAAGGATTTGCTAACAGCTTAGCGTCTCAACTTTTTTCCTCCAAGCGTTTTGCCGACCTCTCTTCCATCGGTGCTGGAATGGCGACTTATTTAAATGCAAAGAATGGACAGCCTCGGCACTTCTCCTTGAATTGTGGATGTGACCACATCCTCTTCAGAGAACGGTCTCGCCATTCCTCGCATACCAATGAATGGTCATTCCAGGGATTGTGCTCTATGCTTCTGTCACCTACGGTGGTTAAGGCCCATCTTGCTGTGTGAGAGGCCACACGAGTACAACGAAACGACATCGCCTACTCCGTGACCGTCCAGATTTGCAAGACCCCAGCTATTAATAGCAACCGCCATTTTTATGAGTTCCCCAGATCGATGAACGTCCAAAATAGTGCATCCTGTCCGATCGGAACTTGTACTGTATTGCATCCTGTGACGCGCCCGGCCGTGCTTTGAAGGCGCACGGTGCCTTTCTCCTTTCCGGTCAGGAGAGGCGGTGAAGTAGGTGTACAGTTACTCCGAGCTGGCGCTCTAGCCCAGCTTGGTCCCGAGTTGCGGCCTGGACTCCAGCCTCTTGGCTCAGACATCCCGACGGTTGAAGTCGCTCCTTTATGAATGCCTCAGGTCCCTGACCGACACCTGTCCAGCCTTCGTGCTTGCCGGTTACTTGGGCGGCCGATTGTTACGGGCTTCCTGGTCGGTATCGGCTTTCGCTCCATCCTGCTCCCTTCGGCGGCCCGCAGAGAGGCTCGGTTCGAAAAAGGTCCATCTCAGTACCGCTGGGGGTAGTGAATACCACCGCCCTGTACTGACGCGTCTTGGCGCGTTGGGCCCTGGCGCGATTCGACTCTGGACAGTCGGGCCAGGCGAGCTGAGTGAAAGGCACTCGGCGAATTTCCGCCATCCCTAATCGAATCCCTTAAACTCGTGCTGGCGAGGCGACCGCTAAGGCCATGGCGAACTTAGAATCGAAGCATGTGCCCGATGTCATGCGAATTTAGGCCTCTTTGTGCCAAGAGAACCGGACAGATCCGGCCCCCTGACCGAGCTCTTTCTCGCAGAGCGAATTTCCTGACTGAAGCCTATAGAGTATTTGTTTACCGTCTAGAACAAAGACCCTCTTCAAAGTCTTCCGAACCTAAACAACAAGCGCCTCGCGTGTGGTCTAGGAATATTTGAATGAAAAAAGGACCAAATTGTTCGGCGAAGTAGGCGCCAACTTGATTTCTTTAGGCATTTTACGCAAATCCTCAGCTCATCAACGGTCTTGCATGTGCGTTCTACGCATGCACCGTGTTGAATCGCGGCTAAAGCCGAACATACTATTCCCCTCGGTATGGGATAGTTGTTTTGTCGAACAAAGCGTAATAACGCCTACTCTTTTTCAGGCCTTAATGCTAAAAAAGATTTCTGCATCGTAACCCTTAGCCGTTCTGAGGCGTGGTGCGTTTTAACCTTTAACGCTCAGTTTGATTTTGGCATTCCATTTGGTCTTGTTTTTTATGATTTTACCTTCAGTGGCGACAGCCGAGGTTGCCGTGAACAGTTCCCAAGCTGATAATTCCTCTCGCGAATTTAGTCTTTGGCGCAGTCCAAATTGTTCGTGCGCAGTGTGCTCGCGGCAACGGCTCCTGCAAGTATTTCGCAGTCGCCGAACCCTGCCCTTTTTTGAGGTGGGCCCAGATCTGACCCGCGGTGATCCGATGCCCACGTGCTCATCTTGATAGGATACTCTCTC